CCCAGAAAAGCACTGAAAAATAATATACGGGAGAGGCTACAGAATCTCAGAATATCAAGAATTCTACTGTGAATTGACAAAACAACATTATGCAACCATTCACGACTATTTCTTCTCCATTTTAACTTGTGATAAACCCAAAGATGTATTGATAGTATCATTGGAAGTCAGACACAAGTTGAAATTTTCTTGACTTATACTCCTCACAATTCCTATGATTTGTATCCTGTGGGTGTGTCAATACTGAAAAGGTGGAGTTCTAATCCCTTCTCTCATGAAGGTGCTATGCGACCTAAGGCCTGAGTCATTACTACTTCCATTCAGTCCAGCGCTAGGGTTTTAAGTGATCCAGTGTCCAGGTTACCAGACTGCAGATACCCTGCAGCAGAGGCACCAACTAGAATAGCCAGAGAACTGCTCAGCTTTGGGGAGGATTCCAGGATTATCTCACATGCTATGCTAATGGCAAATGGTTTGGGATAATTTGGGGTGAATTCATCCTCCCACCCTATTGCCTAATAGATTCAGGCTTCAGAAAGAGGCCTAAGGGCCAACAGAGGTCCTGTGCTCTACTAACTGCTGGCCAGGAGTACTACGCTGCAAAAGCTTATTATCAGAGAGGAGGATTTGAAGACAGAACAGGAGCTCATGAAAGTTCATAACCACCACTCCTAGAAAGTATACAAGAGTGAATTAGAGCAGCAGAAAAATTGTGAATCACCAGTTGCATGCCTGTGGTCCCCTTGGCTCTCACCAAAGTAGTGCAGCAGCCGCAAGTCTGGTGCTGAGGGAGACAAGGCTGGCACTGTGGTACCCACTGTGGACCTTGGAAGGCATCTGGGGAGGCTTCCCAGCCACGCTGGCCCACGGTGCACCTGAAAGCAGTGTGAGACAAGAAGCCCCAGACTGGCTCTGAACTGCTTCACACACACACACACAGAGACAGACAGACAGACAGACAGAAAGCACACAAAGGGAAGATAATGGATCAAGTGCCAGCTGTTTCTCAAAGGTAATTTTCTTTTTCACCTCTATAACCTCCTTGCTTACTCCTCATATAATACTCATTTGATGGATGAGGAAACTGAAGTGTAGACAGATTAAGGAACTTTCCCAAGCTGACACAGTTAAATAATGACTAAGACATAATCAATTCCAAATCATCTGCTCTTTTCCATCTTTTGCAGTATCATATCTCAGTGCAAATCACATCCTAGACATACATCTGTGATGGCATTTGATACATTCACATCCTATACCCCATGTGCACCTACACATACATGTACAAAAATGCCCATTACATGGCATGCATGCTTATCAACACACTTCCATATGAACAGGAGTATTCACATACTGCACATAAAAATCTATACAGCACAACACACTGTACATGCACAAACACTCCCATGGACAGCCTAATCCTGGCACACATCCATTTGTAGACACAGACACCTCCTACCCAGACACCTCCCCCATCACACAGATTGACAGCATCCATAATCACACATACACATAGAAAGAAGTAGATGGGTTCCTAATCCTGTCCATGAAAAGTAGCTCTTCAGGATATGAATGAGGGATCCTGCGATTACTGACCAAGACTATGTAATCCCAGAACATCTCCTAAATCCCCAGAGGCTTCTGGATTGCTTTCACCATTTTTCATTACTGTGACTAATAGTCTAATTATTTTAAAATTGCTAATCCATATATAAATATTTATGAAAACTTCCTACTAGCCAGGATACTTGATTAATTAAAACAGTATATTATTCATTCATTCATTCACTGTGTGATTACTGAGCACCAATTAAGTTGGAGACACCATGGGAGACACAGTGGGAGATTAAAAAGAACCAACCAACCAACAATAAATAAAACGACCATGACTCCTACACTTGAAACACAAATTAACTATATTAACAGGTGGCACGGCCCATGACTTGATGGGATCTGCAGAGGGAAGGCGAGTGAGAGGTAGACACAGGAACTAGAAAGTCCCTAGAGGGCCCGCGCTGCGGCTCACTAGGCTAATCCTCCGCCTTGCGACGCCAGCACACTGGGTTCTAGTCCCGGTCAGAGCATCGGATTCTGTCCCGGTTGCCCCTCTTCCAGGCCAGCTCTCTGCTGTGGCCAGGGAGTGCAGTGGAGGATGGCCCACATGCTTGGGTCCTGCACGAGACCAGGAGAAGCTCCTGCCTTCGGAGCAGCGCAGTGCGCTGGCCGCAGCACACCAGCCGCAGCGGCCATTGGAGGGTGAACCAATGGAAAAGGGAGGACCTTTCTCTCTCTCACTGTCCACTCTGCCTGTCCAAAAAAAAAAAAAAAAGAAAGAAAGAAAGAAAGAAAGTCCCTAGAGTACTAAGCCCAGAGAGTAGGAATAAATCGGTGTCATCCAGGAAAACTGTGACATGGAAAACAAGTGTGGGAAAGGAGCTGTGGAGTGTGGTTTGGGATATGAATTGGTACAGGCGTTAGGAAAGACATGGCCTGCAGGTGTTTCCAAAGGTTTTAAAGAGAGGTCAGAGTGGAAACACAGATTAGAGAGTCAACCATTAAAGGAGGTAACTGAAACAGTTACAACTGAGGAAACCAGAGGCAGTAAGGAACAGGAAAGGGCGAGTGCAAACCCTTGGGGAATACCATGTTCTCCCTGCCTAGTGTACAGGAGTCCGCATCTCATACACACGTGCACACATCTATCCATGTACTTCCTCCACCATTCTAGCCCCACAAGCCAGACAAAGCCAAACACAGCTCCCAGCTATTTTCTGGGTATAATCTCAGGTCTAGGCAAGCTCAGTTGCCCAAAGCAACTCAAATGAACATTGTTCATCAACCCTTAAGCCTCTGATCTTGACTCGTGAAAACCTGCACACTGAGGGTTGGCAGGTAGAAGGTCACTGTTCTTGAACATTACTGATTCGTGCTATGGTGCGAATGAGGACATGAAACCAATCTAGTGAATGGGGTGGCAGAGGGAGGGCAGGAGGCAGGGATGGAAACGGGGTGAAGCACCCCCAGAAGCTTGATTTCAAATCACCGAACGCTTGATACAAAAAGGCAGGCTACCACTAATTTATTCTGTAATCAATACTGGCCCCTAACCGTAGCTAGGCCCCAATTTTTCCAAATGCATGTTTTCTAAAGTGTGTGTTTCATCGTAAAATAGAGGTCCCATAAACATAAGCATATAAGCTTGTAAAAAGTTGTAAGACGACCTGAGGTAAAGATGCTTAGTTAAATTTGTGTGCCCTCAAAAAGTTAAAAATAGAACTATCCTATGACCCACTAACCCACTAGTAGGTAAATATCCAAAGAAATAAGTCAGTCCATCTAAGATGCATCTGCACTCCCAGGTTTATTGCAAAACCATTCATAATAGCCAAGCAATGAAAACGACCCAAGTATCCAACTACTGATGAATGGACAAAGAAAATGTGATACACATACCCACACACACACACCATTCAGTCATGAATGGGATGAAATTCTGTCATTTGCAACAACATGGATGGAACTGGAAGTCATTACTTTCAGCAAAATAAGTCAGGCAAGGAAAGACAAATACAGAATGAGCTCATGCATATGTGGAATCTGAAAAAAAAAGATGATTTCATAGAAGTTAAGAGTAGAGTGGTGGTTACCAGAGGCTGGGGAAAATAGGGGCAAAGGAGAACTGAGAAAAGGTTGACAAATGGATAAAGTATAGGTAGGAGTAAGAAATAATGGTGTTCTATTGTACAGTATCTATTGATGACAGGTAATAATATACGCAAGTTTTTTGATAAAATAAAGCCAGAACAGGCATCATGGCACAAAGAGTGAAGCTGCCCTTTGGGACAGCCCCATCCTGTATTAGAGTGCCATCCACGTGGGAAACCCTGGATGGAGTTCCAGCCTCCTGGTGTTGGCCTGGTCCAGCCCCGGCTGCTGCAGGCACCAGGGGATGGAACAAGCAGGATAGAAAAATCAATCAATCAATCTCTCTCTCCCCCTCCCCTTCTCAATCTCACTTTCTTTACTCTGCCTTTTGAAAATAAACACTTTAGCCGGCGCCGTGACTCAATAGGCTAATCCTCCACCTTGTGGCGCCGGCACCCCAGGTTCTAGTCCTGGTCGGGGCGCCAGATTCTGTCCCGGTTGCCCCTCTTCCAGGCCAGCTCTCTGCTGTGGCCTGGGAAGGCAGTGGAGGATGGCCCAAGTGCTTGGGTCCTGCACCCCATGGGAGACCAGGAGAAGCACCTGGCTCCTGGCTTCGGATCAGCACAGTGCGCTGGCCACAGCGGCCATTGGAGGGTGAACCAACGGCAAAAAGGAAGACCTTTCTCTCTGTCTCTCTCTCTCTCACTGTCCACTCTGCCTGTCAAAAATTAAAAAAAAAAAGAAACACTTTAAAATGAAGCTGAAAGATAGGATTTTGAATGTTTTCACCATAAAGAGATAAGTGTTTGAAGAGATATTTACCCTGATTTGAACATTACACAATGTATACACATATTAATTCATCACACGTACATTATAAATATGCACAATTTTATGTATCAGTTAAATTTTTTTAATGTAAAAAATGTACTTGACTTTGGAGATTTTAAAAATTAGTGACTCCTATTCTGAAGATAAACCTGGGGGAAGAGCTGGAGTACTTGATCTCTAAGTCCTTTCTGGCCATGTCATTCCCTGGACCTAGGGGAGTGCAGGGACCTGAAACTCAGGTCTAGGCCTACCAGGTTAACCCATCACTCCCCCTCCCAGGGAAACCCAGCAGTCAGTGGGACTGCTCCAGGTCCCAGCGAGGTTGCCCTCAAGAGCTCGCGGTTTGTCAGCATCAATCAGACATGTGGCTGCTGCTGCCAGGACCTCAGCTGGCTGAAATCTGGGCTTGGGAACAACTCAGAAGAGGCCCTGGGACCTCATCGTTACCCACTTCCAGAACTAAGAACACCCTGTTCCACACGGGCTGATAGTTAATTAACCCTTTGCTTTCCTCTCTCCCTTAGTCTCGCTGCTTCTAAGGAGGCTGAAGCTGCCCGCTCTGCGCCCAAGCCTATGTCACCCTCGGATTTCCTGGATAAGCTAATGGGGAGAACATCTGGATACGATGCCAGAATCAGGCCCAATTTTAAAGGTAGGGGAAACGTTCCCTCCAGACCCACAGGGAAACGCTTTGCCAGCTTAGAGAGGCAAGAAGCTTAACATCGTAGGCAGGTGGCAAATATGTGGTTCGAATCCCCTAACTCTCAGCAGCTCAGTCTTCTCTCCCACTAACCCCCGACAAAGCCTCAGAGAAGCCACCGAACAGTACATCTGGCTGCCAGGAGTCAGTGAGTGGATTCAAATCTGTCTGCCACCCCTATGTGATAGGGGATAAACACAGAACACAGAGAAACGGATTCAAGTTCAAGTTCAGGTTATCTGAGCTTGGATAAGCCTCTCCCCTTTCCCTGGCCTTTGGTTTCCTCATTTCTGTGGGCATGGAGCTGGCTCCACCTAAAGTTGTAAACACACACTTCCTGGAGCTTTAGGCCTTCCACTAGGTGCCCTGAGAGAGAGCAACAGAAGGCAAAACACAACTAAGCTCACCACTGCTTCTCCCCAAGCAGTTCCACTTTTGTTTGTCTTAGATAAGGGGCTGCCAGCTAAAATTCCTCTGCTGCAAACTTACCGTGGATTACCAAATAGATTTGGAAGTTTCTCGCATGAATCAGAGTCACACATTCAAATGCCTACCAGGACTAGGTAGGTAACTTAGAAGAGTGAGGTGAGCCATGAATAAGACAATAGGGAGGAGCAACAACTGGGGAGAAACCGAGGTGCGGGCTGCCCTGAAGGCGGCAGACTCTCTTAAGTCCTAACCTGGAGTCACCAACAGGAATGTGTCCCATGATGCCAGACCATCCAATGCTGCACAGCAGCCACAAACCAAAATCTCCACGCAACTCCTAATTCCTAACACATGCTGCGTCCACACCAAGCAGGCTTTTGACCCAGACCTGCCCTGCAGATTGCCAATTTACAAACCCTAGGCCAGGTGATCTGAAAAGGTTCCCTTTGCTTTCATAGTCCTAGGGGACCTTAATGTCTATAGCAAGAAGAAACAATTCCCTTTGTTTACCAGTGCCTTAGAAGGGTACAACCAGCTCAGGCTGCTGAGCAGAATTCTGCAGGTGCCATCTTAAGGATCTGCACACTCTGACCTTCCTCCTAGTACCCCTGCAGAAACATCTTATTCCTAGGACCTGCAGCTAGCTTCCTGATCAACTCTTGATTCCAGACGCCCTTAACTGTTCCTTTGGCTCCAGTCCAAGACCAAGAAAAGGATGTGACAGCTGGTAACAGCTCCCTAATATTTGCTCACTTTGCTCCCAATTCTCCAGATCCTCTCTCCAGAGTGTTCTTTCCACATAGCTCTGCAAATAGAAAATGACCTGGGAGACACACTAAGGGAGGTGTCTGAGCTCCCCTCCCACCTGTGTTTACCCCAAGGCTCCTTCACTTGCCCTGCACCTTGCTGATGAAGCACTGTTAGCATAACCTTGGTTTCCCCAAGGACAGCGAAGTCAGGACCAAGACTGTTGTCACAAAAAACTGAGCCCAAGCCCTTCTCCAGAGTTGCAAGCTCAAATACCCAGAGGGTTCAGACAGGGGCGGCACATAAAGGAAGCAGGATAGGGCCTAGAAAACTCAGGTCCTACCTTGGCTGCCGGGAAGAACGCAGACCTGCCCTTTCAAGACAAGACTTCAGTCTGGAAGTTTGTATGCTATCTTCCAAACTGGCAACTAAACCACGTCTTTTAAAAGCACTATCGGGCAGATGAAAGACACACAAGAACTGGTAATGGCCCCTGGCCATCAGGTTGCATCCTCTATCCCCACCTCCCTCCACCCCCGTCCCAGATTGTAGGCACCTCAGTACTCTACGCCCCCTGGTGGCTGCACTCAGAACTCCATCCTAGAGAAAGGTATCCTTTCAGATACAGGAAGGATTCCCATCTGCTGCATACCAGGTGCATCCAGAGCTCCTGTTTGAGCAGCTATCCTTTGTGCATACCACCATCCTTGGTACGTGGGAAACAAATAAATGAATCAACCAATGAGCCAGCAAGTGTTCTCAGTTAAGTGACTCCCCAGTCATACATGGTCAAGACCAGCAACTTTAATCTAGCAAATCTGACTGCATTTTTTTATGTAAGGTTAGTGATTTATTTGCTCACTTATTCACCATTTATTTACTTACTTAAGTAGCGGGAGACTTTTTTTTTGACAGGCAGAGTGGACAGTGAGAGACAGAGAGAAAGGTCTTCCTTTGCCGTTGGTTCACCCTCCAATGGCCGCTGTGGCCGGTGCACTGCAGCCGGGGCACTGTGCTGATCCAATGGCAGGAGCCAGGTACTTCTCCTGGTCTCCCATGGGATGCAGGGCCCAAGGACTTGGGCCATCCTCCACTGCCTTCCCTGGCCACAGCAGAGAGATGGCCTGGAAGAGGGGCAACCGGGACAGAATCCGGCGCCCCAACCGGGACTAGAACCGGGGGTGCCGGCGCCGCAGGCAGAGGATTAGCCTAGTGAGCCACGGCGCTGGCCCGGGAGACATGTTTTTTAAAACATTTTTCCCTGACCACTGAGTGGGGGCCCTCTGCATTCCTATTCTGGGAACATTACTCAGACCACTTGAACCCAAATCCAGAACCTCTCTCAGGCCCTTCTCAACCCTGCTCATGGAAGTCTCTTGACTTGGAGAGAGGTGCAGCTTCCTAGAGCCCCACCCCAGGAGCTTGGAAGAAGGTTTCTCTACCCTCTCCTCCAGCGAGACCCGAAATCCTGGCAGGGCAGGCTGTCTGCTCCTTAGCCTTGCGATCCCTTCCACGTGTCCCTCCTGGCACAAATAAGACCCCCCAAAGCCCCGCAGAAACCAGAGAGCTCCTGAAAAGGCCACGCAGACCAGGGCCCCTGTGTCCCAGCACAAGGATCTCCGCGGCGTGAAACCTCCACCCAGCGACTGGCCTCTTAGAGGCCCAGGAACTTCCTGTGTCTGACCCTCCTGAGGGCTGGCCAGAAACAGCAGGCACGGTCTGCAGGGCCACCGGCAATACAAACTGTAGTAAACATAAAGTTAAAATTGGATTCTAGTCCTCCCCCTCGTCACCTGATTGGTGTTACCAAGAACACATCACTCACTCTATCGGGGCCTCTGTTTCCATACCTGAAAATGATCCACAGAGACAAGGCCTTTACAGTTCTCATATTCTGTGTCTCCTTTAAGGCTTTGCCTATTTCCATGGCTCCCAGGGTCAGGAGCACAACCCAATGCAAACACATACACAAAGGCAAAATTAAACTTTAATATTTAATGAAATACATACATTATCCTGCTGCCAAAGGCAGCCAGATTGTAATTTTCTTGAGGATAATTTTTAGATTTATTTCAATGAACCACACCTCCCCACGGGGTTCTCTGGGCTGGGGCCCTCACACACAAATAAGGCAGGATCTGATTCCTATGAGAGACACGGTGCCAGACACGTGCAGGGCCTGGGTGGGCACTCCGGGTGTGTCCTTTCAAGGCACAGCTAGTGACTTCAGGGCATCTTAATGGCATGAGGCTAAAAAAGAAAAAGAAAAACCTAGCTACAAGGGGAAGAGAGTGGATAAACTGCACGGGATTTTGCTTAGGTGGACTGACAAGGAAGCAGATTTCTGCTCAGCATAAGGAAAAATGCTCTTAACAGACAGAGCTATGTAACTACAGAAAGGGCTGCTCAGGATGAAATAGTTGAGCGCTCAGGTCCCTCCACCTTGAACGGCGAGCTGTCCTGCAGCAGCGGTCCCCAGCCCTGGATATGCGTGAGAATCACCCATGCAGCTCCTTCAACAGCAGGTGCTGGGCTCATCTCCAGAGATCTGGGCTCACCGAGCGCAGGGCTGGACCAAGCCAATTGCAACTTAACAAGGACGCCAGGAGACTTATGGCACACGGCTCTGTTGGCACATCCGTTGGGGGCATACTTAATCAAGTGACCTTCCAGCCCCGAAATCCTCTGACCCTGAAGTCCAAAGGCGTGGCTTCCAGAAGGAAATCTCAAGCCGCTGGAGCTGAGAGTGACTGCCTAGGTCACGAGCTCCTCTCCCACAGGCTGATGAGGACACGGAGACCCAGAAAAGAGAAGGGCCTGGCCTGAGGCCAGACAGCCAGCGAGCGCTGGAGTTCTGTCTAAAACCCAAGGCCCTGGCACTTCCTTGGAAGAAAAATCTAGATGGCCACCCCAAGACTGAGTCCCTCCCTATACACCAAGATTTCTGTAAAGAAGGAAGTCTTGGCTGAGTTGGAGTGAAATGCTTGGGGTGCTTTTCTTAAAGGGACAAAGTGGAGTAGAACCCAGAGGACACAAAGATACCCACCTGCTTCTTTGCAAACTCAGAGAACATTAGCTCAACCCCTGGCCCACTGTCCTTCCCCACCCCTCGCTTCTTGGCTCAAGAGTCCCAAGGGAGTTATTGAATTCCTCTGCGCTCCTCTGTGGAGTAGAGCAGAGATTCTGCCCTACCTACTTCATACCGCATGGGGATCAACAAGAACCTGAAAAAAGTTAGACTCTGCAAATCACAATGTTTAGGTGATGGATTACAACCTATTATCCTTGTCTTACCCACCTTCAAAGTCATGTTGAGGTCACCGCCTTTATGAGGTCTTCGATGTCTCCTCCCAGAACCTTTCTCTCCTGAACTCCTCCTGCTTTGATCACTCTCTTGCTCTCACATCCCTTTCTATCTGTATGATGCTGGTCCTCTCGTCAGCTCATGTAGAGCCCAGTGCCAGAAATTCTGAGTTCTGCCTCGCCTGCGTGAGCTTGAGCGTACCTCTCAGCCTTGGGATCTCTCCTGCAGCTTATCCATGAAGATGGCCAAATCTGAACCCGAACTCTGGTTCAACCACTTCCCAGTTGTCTGGCCATGGATTAATAATTTCTCTGAGGGAGTTGTTGAGAGGAGAGAATAAGGTGATGGTCGTGGTTCTCTGAGCCCAGCAGCAAACCCCGTAATGCTTAGTGAGTGGTGGCTGCTGCATCAAATGAAGAGACTGGGAGGGATGCAGGCCAACAGAGTTCCCTGCACCACTGAGATACCAAAGCAGGGACTACTCCTCTGTGTCTTCCCTATCCTTCACAATATGATTCAGACACCTGCCCGGGAAGCAGCTGTAACAAAGACGGGTGGACTTCCCTTGAGGTCCCCTCTGCATTCCTCTGCTGGGAATTCCCGTCAATGCCCTGTCAGGCAATCATTCTTGGTTCATAAGTTCAAGGCAAGGAACTTGCTGTTCCTGGTGAATCCCAAGATGTCCTCCAAATGTTTCAGCCATAAATACATTTCAGATGCAACACAGACAGCAGCTGATGGGGCTTGGGGAAAGGATTTCAACCATATGGCAGGATGATGAATCACCCTGTGTTAATGAAAGAACATCTCGACTCAGCCTCTGGTGTTCTGTACCTGATGCTCACTTGGGGACCAGAGAGTCTGGCACAGAGATGTTGAGTGGTGGCTGGGAACCCCAAGTGCTCAATGCTGGGGTGCAAGACAAGTGAGGAGTTCCTTCACCAAGGGGGATCCATCCCTAGTCAATATTCCAAGAATAGATCCCCTCCTGTGTGTTCTTCCATGGCCGTGGGGCTAAGCAGGAATCTTTGTTGATTGACAGGTCCCCCGGTGAACGTGAGCTGCAACATTTTCATCAACAGCTTCGGTTCCATTGCTGAGACAACCATGGTGAGTCAAAGCACAAGCTACTGCTTCCTGCTGGGGACATCTCTCTCCCTCAAGTACTTCTCCTCTGCTTCGGTCTTCCCCAGGGAGGTGGGGCATCAAGTATTGTCACCAGGTCTCAGTAATATCCCATGAGACTCTGACGTTTGTACTGTGCTATTTGATGTTTTGTGTAAAGATGCAACATCTGAAAATGGTCAAAGAGATGAGAGCGCTGACACATGACAAATGCCCAGGATTACAAAACAAAATAATGTAACAGGCTAAAGTTTTATATTAAAAGAAAAATATAAAGACCTGCTTGTAAGTCTAAAATTTAACTACAAAAAGGGCAGAATTGTGGTGTAGCAGGTTAAGTCTCCACCCATGACCCCAGCATCCCATATCAGCATTGCTTTAAGTCCTGGCTGCTACTCTTTCAAATTAGTTCCCTGCTAGTGCACCTGGAAGTGCAGTGAAAGATGGCCCAAGTGATTGGGCCCCTGAAAACTATGTGGAGACCCAGATGAAGCTCCTTGTTTCAACCTGGCCCAATCGTGGCCATTGTGGCCATTTGGATGGAAGATCCCTCTCTCCTTCTCTCTAACTCTGCCTTTCAAATAAATGAATAAATAAATAAATAAATCTTAAAAGAACAAACAGGACCGGCATTGTGGCATAGTAGGTAAAGCCACTTTCTGCAACACTGGCATCCCATAGGGGCAGCAGTTCAAGTCTCAGCTGCTCCACTTTTGATCCCGCTACCTGCTAATGTGCCTGGGAAAGCAGTGGACAACAGTCCAAGTCCTTAGGCCTCTGAGAAAGTTTCTGGCTCGTAGCTCCTGGCTCCTGGTTTTAGACCAGCCCGGCTCCAGCCAGTGCTGCCATTATGAAGTGGACCAGCAGACGAAAGAACTTTGTCTCTCTGCCTCTCCTCTGTTACTCTTTCAAATAATCTTTAAAAAAAAAGGAAGGAAGGAAAGAAAGGAGAAAAGAAAGAAAGAGCAGACCTGTTATAAAAGCTGAAATGGATATAGAGATAATTGTACTATTTATTCTATTTAGTATTTAAGTATATTTAAAATTCTTATAGTGAAGAGTTTAAAATAATTTATACTAGAAAAAAATACAAGGAAAAATATCAAATTGTTAAGAGATTTTCTCTGAATCATAGAATAATTTTTTTTTTTTTTGACAGGCAGAGTGGACAGTGAGAGAGAGAGAGACAGAGAGAAAGGTCTTCCTGTTTGCCGTTGGTTCACCCTCCAATGGCCGCCGCGGCCAGCGCGCTGCGGCCAGCGCACCGCACTGATCCGATGGCAGGAGCCAGGTGCTTCTCCTGGTCTCCCATGGGGTGCAGGGCCCAAGGACTTGGGCCATCCTCCACTGCACTCCCTGGCCACAGTAGAGAGCTGGCCTGGAAGAGGGGCAACCGGGACAGAATCCGGCACCCCGACTGGGACTAGAACCCGGTGTGCCGGCACCGCAAGGCGGAGGATTAGCCTATTGAGCCACGGCGCAGGCCCATAGAATAATTTTTATTTTCTTTCAGTAATTCTTATTTTCAGATGTCTGCAACAAGTAAATATTACATCAGTAATTATAAACAAACACAGTGATACTTAACATTTTCTCCCAACCCTTGAAGACAAAGAATCAATTGTAGTTGTGTAAAGGGAGGGATCTAGGGGCTGGCGCCGTGACTCACTTGGTTAATCCTCCGCCTGCGGCACCGGCACCCCCGGTTCTAGTCCCAGTCGGGGCGCCGGATTCTTTCCCAGTTGCCCCTCTTCCAGGCCAGCTCTCCGCTGTCGCCCTGAAAGGCAGTGGAGGATAGCCCAAGTGCTTGGGCCCTGCACCCACATGGGAGACCAGGAAGAAGCACCTGGCTTCTCTCTCTGTCTCTCACTGTCTATAACTCTACCTGTCAAAAAAAAATTTAAACAAAAGGAACGGATCTAGCTTATGAAAAAATAACCAGGGCAGCCTCAAGTCAACCCTGTATGAGCAGTGAGAAGCAGCCAGTTAATCACCAGCTCTGTATCCATTACTTCCTCTAAGGCCTCTGAACAATTTTTTCAGGACACACACTGCCTCCTAGCTCAGTGCAACCTTCTATTGTGGCTTGCTTACATTACCACAAAGGTTCCTGGTGATTTCTATCTTGGTCTCCTTCAATTCACTCTTTGTCATACAATCTCTTTCCTTAAAAAAAAAAAAATAGAGAGAGAGAGAGAGATGGGGTTGTCATTGTGGGTGCATTGGATTAAGCTGCTGCCTCTAATGCCAGTACACCATATGAGCTCCAACTTGAGTCCCAGCTGCTACACTTCTGATCCAGCTCCCTACTAATGCATCTGGGAAGGCAGTGGAGGATGGCCCAAGTCCTTGGGTCCCTGCACCCATGTGAGAGACCTGGATGGAGTTCCAAGCTGCTGGCTTCAGCTTGACCATCACAGCCATTGCAGCCATTTGGGGAGTGAACCAGAGGGTGGAAAATCTCTGTGTTTATCTTTCCCTCTCTCTGTAACTCTGCCTTGAAAATAAATAAATAAATCCTTAAAGAGGATTATAAGGCAGATCAGAGTGACAGACAGATCTACCATCCGCAGGTTCACTTCCCAAATAACTGAAATAGCCAGAGCTGGGTCAGACGGAAGTCAGGTGCCAGGAACTCCATTCAGGCCTCCCCCATGGGTGGCAGGGGCCCCGACACTTGAGCTATTTTTTGCTGCTTTCTCAGGCACATTAGCAAAGAGCTGGATTGGAATCAGACTAGTTGGGACTCAAACCAGATATAGGATATAGGATGTTGGCATCTCAAGTGGTAGGTTAACACAAGGTATTGCAAGGCTAGCCCCATCACACAATATCTTTTTATTTATTTATTTTTTTTTTTTTTTTTGGACAGGCAGAGTTAGAGAGAGACAGACAGAGAGAAAGGTCTTCCTTCCCCAAATGGCCACTATGGCCAAGAGCCAGAAGCTTCCTCCTGGTCTCCCATGAGGGTGCAGGGCCCAAGCACTTGGGCCATCCTCCACTGCCCTCCCAGGCCACAGCAGAGAGCTGGACTGGAAGAGGAGCAACCGGGACAGAATCCGGCACCCCAACCAGGACTAGAACCCTGGGGTGCCAGTGCCGCAGGCGGAGGATTAGCCAAGTGAGCCGTGGCGCCAGCCAATATCTTTCTAAAATACAAATCTGATCACACCATTTTCCTGCTTAAACTCTCTCCATGGCTCCCTGTCACTTTAAACACTAAACTCAAATTCCTGTGCAGAGCCTGGAAGGTCCTTTGCAGTTCTGCCCTGTTCCATCTTCTCTCTTACCCACTACACACTCTGGTTACACAACTGCTTAGAGTTCTGTACACAGGTGCTCCCTCTGTTCTCCCTATACCTCTTTTTCACTGACTTCCGTTGGTCCTGCAGGGCCTTTGTCTAATGCACAAACTCCAGCCCCTTTTCCCTCGCCTACTCTTACTCTCTTTTAAGGCTCTGCATAGAGTTACCTCCATAGGAAGCCTTCCGGCTAAATCACACAAGTCTGAGTCTATGTGTATGCTTAACTCAAGACTGGAACAACTCCTTCCCTGTGTTCTCATGACACAGGTCTACAAGCCCCACAATGCCACTTACCATTGTAGCAATCCACTTCTCCAGCCGCTTCTGATGAGGATCTAAGTTCTCTGGGGGCTATAATCTTGTCTCTTCTCCATGGTAACCCCAGCATCTGGCTCAGTTTTTCTTTTCTTTTAAGATTTTATTTATTTACTTGAGAGGTAGAGTTAGAGACAGTGAAAAAGAGAGACAAAGAGAGAGGTCTTCCATCCACTGCTTCACTCCCCAAGATGGCTGCAACAGCCATAGCCAGGAGTTCTTCCGGGTCTCCCAGGTGAGTGCAGGGGCCCAAGGACTTGGGCCATCTTCTAATGCTTTCCCAGGCCACAGCAGAGAGCTGGATTGGAAGAGGAGCAGCCAGGACTTGAACCGGTGCCCAGATGGGATGCTGGCATGGCAGGCAGAGGATTAACCTACTGCACCACAGCACCAGCCCCTAGCATAGTTTTTCAAAAGCAGGTACTCAATAATTCTTTGAAATAAATAAGCCAATTAGGATACAAAGCCTGTCCGTTCAAACCATTATTTTGCTCTACAAATTTATTGGAGGTTCTTTCCGACAGTTCAGTCTCAGAGCAGCAAATACTGCTGAGCTCTGTAGGTCAGGAGGCAAATGGCTCAAAGTCTGTCCATTTGCAAAGAGGCCTGTCTTGAAATGGTTAGGACGACCTTGCCTATAACCGCAAGACAGCTGACAAAACTTCCTAAAGCTAACAGGCCTCTGATCTCCAAACAGAGACGACCCCATCAGTTGGCTAGGAACAAATATGGCTGCTTTTCAGTGGGCATCCAGGTCAAAAGCCAAGCTTCTCACACTTTGAGAACCAGAATCTTACACAATGTCTTAATGAGCCCCTCTGTGTTACTGCTTCTCCTCCCAAATCAGATTTATTCATAATTTCCATACACGGAGTGTTGAAAACTCCACGCTTCTTCCCACGTGGTAAGTGGTTATCAAACACAGCCAGAGACTGGACCACCTTACCTGGGGACAGGTGCACATCTCTTCGCTTCCACAGGCCCCTCCCCCTACACACACAAACTTGTTTCCCTGTTACGGCCAAAGATCTATTTCCTTGATACACATTTGTCCAAGAACAGCAGACCCTTAATTCTGACTGGTGGCCAAAAGCCCCGCTTTGGAGTCACACAGCCCGAGTTCTCTCCCTGTCTGTGAGGAGCTGCCTGGCTTCACCTCCTCAGGCCTCAGTTTTCCTCATCTGCAAAATTCCAGTGGTGATGAACTCCTCAGGTTACTGTGCGTGGTGCGTGCAGAAGAGTGCTTACCACGGTCAAGGCTTTGTATGGGTTCACTGTTCTTGGTGATGGTGATGGCGGTGGTGATGAAGGAGGAGGCGGAGATTCCCAGCACTATCAATCACTGATTGATTAGCTGTGTGATCT